AAAATTCATATCTTCTCGCCACCGTGTAATATCCTCTATTTATTTAAAACGTCCACAAAATATCGAGAATTCTTCCCGACATTAACTATTTGTAAAAACAACCGATTTTCAGCTTGTTTTTAATTGTGAGAAGACACGTACAGTTATCATATTTGGAGAGCATGGTATAATGGCTCATATACCATGATGGCTAAGCCAATCAGAGCTCTAGAATTGCATTATCCATTGATTCAGTTTATAATAATTAAGATTATAGGTGCTATTTCAATATTTCCAAAGGCAATACCACTTGCAAACTTGATTCCTATTAGTAGGCAAGGTGCACATGAAACGCGCGTAAGACCCCTCCCGCCGGTTACCTCTTTCATAACTTGTTACACTAAACTAACAGCTATTTTCTTGACGTACATAACAACTGGATACTCTTGAATTTTGTAGCAAATTTAAATAAATATAAACAACTAAACAATCAGACACTTTCCTAATCTGTGCGAGGACGCGTAATGATGTTAGCAAGATTAACAACAATTATGACCCACCCCTGATATGATATTGGCGACTATTGTTACATTTGTGACCAGGAGCCAAACTAATCCGCTCCTGTTTGGGACCAATTACTTGCTACCAAGGCCCCCATTATCATTTTTGTAACGTGCCGCTTATACATTTGTGACTCTAATTACATTTGGCGCCAGTCATTACAATTGTGATCTCAGCCCTCTAGAAATACGTTAATCGCAACACTTCGCTTAACACTAAGGCCATAAATCGATGGAAAAAACTCGGTCCGAAATGTACAGTACTGACCGAGAACTCGGCTTGAGGTATCTAATCATTTTTTTACAGGGGATGAAAAACATTATAGAGCACTCAATCGAAGTCGTGTTGCTAGGAAAACTTAATGCAGCTCGACGTCACAATCGATGACGTCTCTACAACTATCAACCAGGGCTGAGTTGCTCAAAGCATGGTTAGCTTTAACCATTGATTAAGCAGTATCAAAACCAATACGTTGTCAAGGTATTAAACGCTGGTTAACGCTAACCATGCTTCGAGCAACTGGGTGCAGAAATACATATGTAAAGCCGACCCATGTTTCTACCTCGCTGTGCGATCCACGCACGTTCCACGCAAGATAAGAATTTCGACAATAAACTCGCTCCACGATTTGCGAGGAATTATTATTCCAGAATTTTAAAAAAGCCACCAGGTCATCAGCCCACTTCATACAATTACTTTTTCAATATTTTTTGTCCATGCTTTTAGGCACGATGATTGTCAAATGACGTGGTTTTACTATCCTTCCAACAGAAATACTGGCAAACTTGATACTGAATAATTTCAGGAGCCCATCAAGTGGAGCCTCCATCTCCATTAATTTCTTGAGTCAACCCTTTCCCGAGTAGATTTATAAATAGAACGGCTAGTTTCCCGCGAAAGTGTCATATTTCCGTGAGTCTCGTGTGTCACCGTGAAAAAATAAAATTGGATGAAGTCGAACTCAGAAGCCCGTCCTTCGACCGTTTTCCTTTTTTCCTTTACGTCCATTTTTACAATCTTACAGCCG